TATAAGCAATATTAAATTGTATTAATTAATTGTTGATAACATTTACCTGTAAAAAATTAAGTTATACTTATGAGTTATAATGGAAAATATAAATTTTATTGAAATTAATACCCATTGTATTGAGTATTTTATACTTTTTTTTAATTAACTCAACATTTTATTTTCGACCAAAAGTATTAATTTTTTCTTAATACATAAAGAAAATTCATTATTTTTAATCTAATTAAAAGTTAATACGATGTTTTATTATTTAAAATTGAAAATACGAGTATTCAACAATTATTCATGTTTAAAAATTTGTAAATGTTTTGCTTTACCATGCTTTAACAAGAATAAAATATACCGAAAATGAAAACCAACTATAAATATTTTATTTTATAGTGTCATGTTTGAATGGAAAAAAAAATAATAATATTTGTAATGGATTAGACAGAAATACAATATTCACGGAAAAAGTGTACTGGTGACTACGAGTTAAAGCTTTTTTTTATTGATAGAAATACTTTTTTTTTTTACTGAGTAATTTAAAATGTTTGGAGAACTTAGAGTGCTAAATGTACACAGCTAATGATTTAGATCAAATTATTTTCAAACAATTTACGGTTTTAATTTTACTTATTTCTAAATTTTATAGAAGTTTTTAATATGTATGTAATCAATAATGATAACTTATAAAACGGTTTCAGATTTTTGCTACTACGGCTTATTTATTTCATATTTTCCAATAAGATTTGCATTTGTTTTAACACCAATACACGTAACAGGTATACATACAAGAAAATTTACTTTAATACCTAGTACTTACATATACAGTGCTAATCAATGTAGCATTTTTTTTTTTTCATTAAGTATATTCTAGTACATGTAATACTGTAGTTTAAAAAAAAAACATTTTATGTTTATTAACTTAAACAGTTATTTTATCATTTTCATTTCGTTTAGACATGCACTTACACAATATTAATATACAGTGTTGTTTCATAAAATTTGAAAAGAAAATTGATTTTAATGTATGTAAATTAATACCATTAAATATTATTGTATACGATAAAAGAATATGTTTAACATTTTAATCAAAAAAAAAAAAAAATTAAACCGTTATCCAAAATGTATGTATTTATTTTTAATTTATGATAAAAAAAAATGTAAACTCCAATAAGTAAAATGCAATATCAATGCGCAGTATTCAACTTTCAAATTTTACATAGACCCTTCAGCAAGAGTGTTTAAGAAGTGAAATTCGTCTTTTCTAAAAACTTATGATCGTATTAGCTCATTTATTTATTAACTCAATGTAGAATACTCAAAGTAAAAGCGTGTGTATATTAATATTATACTAAAAACGTTCGACTTCGAGTTACATGAATGTTTAAAGATATAATCGTGTGTATAAATAAACCAATATAGACACAGGCACATAATATGCAAATTTCAACGCTAAAATATGCTAAACGATCCGTATTAACAAAATAAAAATGTCTGTGAATAATAATACGTTCGTAAAAACCAGCCAACAACCTAACCTATAGGTAAACGTGCCCTCGAAGGTGTGGATGTTAATATCAAATATGCGTGTACTGGGAACCATGTGCTGCAACATAGTCAGTGTTTAGAGATACATATTCGTGAACGAAAATTCTGCTTTAGGACGTTTAGATTTCTTTGGTAGTAAACATGGGTAAGCACACGAACGAAAACCGTGTTTTTTCTTCCGTGCACCACGAATCCGTGTGTATATATACTCGTATATAATGAATATAAAGATGAACAGTTATTTAGGACGTCACTGTCGTGTCGACGCCATGTATTGTTTCACATCGCAGTGCAAGTATTTAAGCCCTTCGGGGATATTTTTTAATTAGGGCTGATAACTAGCCTACTGGGTGTACGTAATTGGATAATTTATCGAATACCGTTGCATTTGTATCTAAAAACAATACCGAAGCCTCAACCCCTCGAGTATTTAATTGCTTAGAAAAAAAAAAACATAGACAATGAATATATTAAAATGTGTATTATCTGTTCAACACCTGATAAATGTAAAACTATACTTATTGTGACCAGTATTATCGAAAAATAGTTAACCGTACACTTATATGTACACCTATACATTAGTTGTTTTTATTGAAATCCTATGAACTGTGACTGTTGGCACATGTTATTTTTTCAACAATAGTTTTAGTAAGTAATATATATTTAAAATCACACAATTTACAATTATTTGGCACTATGTGAAAAGCGTTAAAATAAGTGTTGACACATATAATGAGTGTGCACCTACTTCAGACCCAATATAATAAACCCTCTTTGCTATACAAATCTGCGCTTGGATAAAGTAAGTGTTTTATTCGACATCTCGACGTGTAGTCGGAGAAAACTCTATTACAAATAATATTGTTTATTGTTAAGAGAGAGAGAGAGAGAGAGATAAATAACACTAACAATCGGACGCGTTTGGTTTGTGCGCGGGAAATCATTGCGTCGTTGGTGGGTTAGAAACAAAGGAACAGCGGCTCTCGTGGAATAAGACGTGAAGGGTTGAACAAAAATAGGTACCTACGGTGACGACGATGGTTAAGCCCCCTTTTTTTTTTGTTCTCAGAAAACGAAATACGCGAGGGCGGCACGATTCACATAAATGATATATAAATATAAATATAATATTAATAATAATAATATTATATTGTTTCGTTATTGTTGTAGATACGAGAATGGACTCCGTGTTTTATTTTATTAGGTTTTTTAAAATAATTTTAATCACCACACCACAGCGAACACGATAGGCTCACAAAAATTAATAACAATAACATACTACATTTCATCAGTGACGGTGTAATTTGGACTTTGAAGCAAGAACGCAAGTTATGCGGCGAGTCTAAACTATAATAACATCGAAATAAAAGTAATGGTCATTCGATAGTACATATAAATTAGAAAAAAGTTCCTAAAATAATATCGACTTATATAACTAATGAAGAATAATACGAGGAACGATGGTCGTTTATTATAAAATTTACTATCGTTTACCGCGATAAATTCAGAACAATTATGTTGTATATCTACCTATAAGTTTAATAAGAAAAAAAAATGTTTAAAAACTTCCCTAATTACTATTACTAATTGACTTATGTGAAACAGTGTACCCTATTTATACGAAAACGGATTAAAAACTGAGAAGTTTGTTTTGTTGTCCGTTTTCGGTGTTCGAAATTCAGAAAACCTAAAGTGTATGCCCATATTTGGTGTTTAAACTAAAACCATACATTTTTCAGATCTTTTCAGTAGCCAATCTTAAGTCCATTTTGTTTTTTGTTTTTTACCTTCAGTTTTAAGAATCAATGCCATATGACAGTAGCTGCAAAAGCTTAATTTACGACGCACGTAACAGGAGTAACAATATGCGGGACTGTGGAAACTATAGGAAAACTGAAGAAAAATATAGTGTGTAGTCAATTTCGGTGTTCGAATAAAACGGTCGGCGTAACACCGTAAAACGGTACGAAATGTAATGTGTGTGTCGTCCATCGGCGTACGAACAAAATATGTTTAAACTACACCGTACACGGAGAAATAAAACCGTAGTGTGTGGCTTTCTTTAAAGTTGCGGACACGGTCTCCGATCCAAACTCCGTATGATGTTCCAACTACAGACGTATCTTGTCAGTAGACGATACTTGAACGTTTAACACGAACAATCTAGAAACCGTGAAAATGATCTGTACTTCGTAAAAACTCGTAATACCGAACACCGATCTTAAATAAAAAAAAAGACCGAAAGCACTGCGAAATCAAAACGTTTCATTGGTCAAGTTCAACCGTTACGTAATATTTTCTTATTATTTAATCGCTCCGTAAACACGGTCGACGTGGAGCTGAATATCGCGAAACGGAAATTCGTCGCGCATAGGCGTTGGAGGCGACGCATGGTCACATTCGCGGCACGCACGCCTTGAGCGCGCAAAAACGACACTGTGGGCGGGGCATCGACGGTGGCGTTTTGTTCCTACGAGAATCGAAACGGGTGGCTGTAAACGCGTCATCCCGTCGCGTCGCGTTCGGGACGACATCCGAATCGGCACCTTGGCACGTCGATAAACGACCTGGTTCAGTGCGGAAGACGAACAAAATGAACAAAAAAAAAGGAAACACGTCCGCGTGCAACGAAGTGCGGTGACGTGCGGTACGCTCTCGGCGCTAACCGCGGTTGCGTCTCTAGCGCGAAGAAGCCACGACCGTCTGCACGGCGACCACGACGATGTCCACCGTTGCCGCCACCGTTGTCGTCTGCCCCGGCCGTCTCTCGGCGACCGCGCGCGGTCGAGGTCACATTTTTGTCTTTAGCCGCCGCCGCGGCCGGTTTCGTGCCATCCCCCCCTCTCCGCCGCCACGATCTCCGCGAGTAATTGGTATGACAGCCGCCGTGTGCAGCGCTCTCTCCGATGGTACGAAAAAAAAATAATAATAATAATAATGTTTATACGACGACCACGTTATCACGTGTCCGCCGCGCCGCACCGACCGACCGCCGCCGCCGCCGTCGCCGCTGCCGCCGCCGCCCCGTTAGTAGGAGGTTTGCCAGCGTTCCGCAGTACGTATCGGGTCGCCGCCGCACGTAGTCGATTTGTCCGTCCGCACAGTCCGCTCGCGCCGCCGATACACTCGTGCACACCCGACACACACGCAAGTCGCGCGGGATTTCTTTCCCGTATTTTTTTTTTTTCTTCTATTTTTTTTTCCTCCACGTTTCGATTTTTCCCGTTCGCCCCCGCAGCCCCCGGACACCACCGGACCCGACCGAAAGTCGTACGACAACCCGCACCGACGAAAGCTTTCCGACGATGACCGTCCGACCGGTCTTCCGCCGTTAACCGCGGCGCGTGACGTCACACGCGACCACCGTCCGACCGGCTTAACGCGCGCGCTCGCGACTTCACGTCTGCCACTAGTATTCCCTACATTTTCTGTTCGTCGCACTCGATCCCCCCCGAAGAACGCGCGAAATGACCGCCGCCAACGGGTTCATCATCGGCGATGGCTCCTGGAACTTGCAGATATACGTGTCCGATCTGCAGGTGGAACGCACGCTCCGGGTCAAAGGCGACTTGCACATCGGAGGCGTCATGCTCAGACTGGTCGAAGATTTAGGTGAGCCAAACTTACTTAGCCGTCATATAAGCCCTTGCTTCCTGGTATCGCGTCGGGCGTGCATCTCTAAATGGTATGGCTGTCATGCACGCTCACTGTCAACGTTATTGCTCTCAATTTTGGGAGGAAAAAATTACGTGTACATCGGTCTACAGGTATAGGCCAGTTCAGATATACTGTGATGTATGTAGATAATTAATAATAATATTGTTGTAATAGGTCATCATCGTGTTACGTCAACAAAGAGTTTCGTAATAATTCGTCTAATAATAATAATAATGAATACAAATGTATAATGTCTTTTTACATGTAAATAATATATGAGGCTAAACTTGTGAAATTCGTATAATATATTGGTCGACCATTACATAGTAATCGCGATCGTTACGAATGAATAATAGTTGTTCGTTGAAAATAATTTGTACACAGAAATAAAAATGATATTTTATAGAATTACTTAAATTTTATGTTTCAAAATTATTTAATCGCAAAATGTATTACACCTAATTCCTTAGCTTAAACCAGAGCTTAAACTATACGATATCAAATAAAATCAGTACACCTCAATTACTCTCAATATTTATTTATTATTTTTGCTACTATATTTAACATATCATATACTCGTATTATAGATCTATTTATCACACTAAAAATACGTTTACTTAATTCTTAATTATTTGTGATTGTAAAAAGCTGCAACGTTTTAACTTTTCATCGACGTAATTCCAAAACGGGTTTAAATTATTAGATTTATTTTTTCATTTAAAATTTCCCCAAAGGTATACCACATAAATTTAAAAAAGAATTTCTGAATTTAAAACTGGTTTGATAATTAACCGATTTAATGATTAATTAATCACGAAACTATTTTATATTTATCAATGGATTTTGACCAATAATAAATGTAAAATAAATCGAGTAAATATAGATAAACCATTTTAAACGAAATAAAACATTATAACAATCATCTACTACATTTTATTTAAAACATATTCATTCAATATGTCAAAAATTTTTTTTGTAAATAATTAAATACTTCAATAGTATGCTTTACTCGTAACTATCATATTTATAAATCTACTACGAAAAAATATATTTTACTTGCATTTCATAATACCTATAAGTATTTTAAATGGTTAAGATTTATGATCGTTTTATTGATAGTTCTAAATAGATTTTTAGTTTATATTTTTTAAATATAATTAGTGTTTTTATTTATAGACTATTATTAAAGTACAGATTATAGGAGTGTTATTCTTGCAGACTTAAATTTTAATTTAAAAGCGACTTTATCTGATAATATAATATAAGGATACCTAGAAATGTGCACGTGTAGCATATATAAGCGTTTCTACGAATATCGATAATATATTTCATGATGCAATATGAATGTTTTACAGTTGCATTAGAAGACTGTTTTATTAGGTTAAATAACAATTATGTAAATAATGCACAGTAATATTCAATTTTTATTGCCAGTTTGGGGGTACCTATTTAATTTTATTTATTTGTATGATCATAATTGGATTGTTATTTTCACTCAATTGTGTATAATTGTGTACTTATTCCCATTTGGTTGCTACCAAACACATAAATTATCTATGATTATTATTGACTCGATTAGCAACTGAGATAGTCATCTTCACAATTTTAGTCGAATTTGTTATACATTTCTAATTAGGTTATTCAAATTACTTTTGAATTTCATGTTAAATGCATCACATCTCTCTATTTCAAATAAACAAATTCCAAAGTCGAATATAATGTATTTATAATTCCGTAGCTTATAAATATATTTAATGTAACTTATCAATTTTTGAAACGTTTTAATAGGCATATAAACAAAATATATAAAGAATTTTAAACTGCATTACGACCGTCTATGGCTGTCTATAACCTATAATATGACCTATGCTTCAATTAAGATATCGTATACATTTATTATCGTTCTTTACCATTGTTTAATTGTATATTCTTACAATTCCTTTACTAAAATATGCTAATAAATATTTAATTTTATGCGCAAAACATTTTGGCAACTGGTGGAATGATTATTTTTGTTTTTGAATTATTAATGGATTTTCAGTTTAATAACAATTTATAATATGTATAATAATATATTAAAAATAATTTATATTTGACATTTTTATATATTTATACAATTTTATACATATTTATACATTTATACAAATAAATTTGTTTGTATGTCAAATATAAATTATTTAAAATGTTATTTCTCTTAATATAAAAACAAGCAAAAGAAAAGATTACCTTTAACTTAATCCATTAAAATGTATGGGTTTTTTTTTATTATTAAATTTAAAATCCATTAAGAATTCAAAAAGAAAAAATCATTCAACCGGTCGCCAATATTTTTTGCGCATTAAATGAACTATTTATTAGCATATTTTAGTAAAGGAATTGCATGATACTGAATTGATAATTTATATAAATTATACATAAATATAATTTAAAAATATATTAAAACGATTAAAAGCTGTCATATATATGTATATCATACACAATTTTATTGCTAATTTTCTGTGAACTTCAAATAATTTTCATAATATTTACATTTCTTTAAATTTTATTTATATATCAGATAAATATTTGATACCAATGGTGCATAAAATATTTACTATGTTATCTAGTAAATATCTATATTCTAAGTGGAATTTTGTTTAAAATTATAATCATACACATTTGTTTGCTTATATTAATGCCCTTATCTAGACCATCCAAACAATGTATGTTTTTTCTGACTTGGCATTTAAATTTAAATTGTTTATTCTTTTTATGACAGATTGTCGAAAAAATAATAATAATTACAAAATAAACAAATGAAAGAATGCAGAGGAAAAATACGTAGAAAACAAAACGTTTACGGCGAGATTGACTGCACATAAAAAAAAAAAAAAAATGCAAACATTTCAACTCTTGCTGTTACTATTATATTATATTGAAAGTCTGCTTGTACGTGTTATTTTCATTATTATCAATGAATGACTTCTCGGTCTCCGAACACGCACTAAAACAAGAATACTGTTAATAGCACCCCCGCGATACTATGGTATAGTTTAGGTAATATAAATATATTGTTAACCTGATAATTTTTTACATTCGTTAATTTTAAGATACATTACCTAATGCTATTGACCATGACAAACTATATTCTTGCAATAATTATATTTTTTTTCAAATTCACTCACGTCATCTTATACTATATACCATATATTATATTGCAGTACAAAAATTAAAGTAAACAGGATTAGGAGGATTTTATTGTTTGTCTCTTGTGCATGAAAATAAACTATTTAAATATCATAAAAAACTAATTTACATTACTCAAGTCAGTTTACCATGTTTAGAGTATACATTTCGTAGATTGCTGTAAATATGTGTCGCGACCCTTAAAACCAAAATAGCATCTATGAGTGTTTAACTATTTCTTAGTCAACTATACAGCTGCCATTTATTGCTGCCTACGCCTCCAATTTTTTTTTAAAACTAAATTTATGTACTTCTTAAAATAATAATTCACTGCATAATGAGTTATCACACTAAAACCAATTAATATACATTATTTTGGTTTTGTAGTATTTCCGTAGTTTTAGTTTATTCCTGGAACGGATAAAACTCACAAAGTGGTGTTATACTCATAAAATATTCATACACTGCATTGTCACATAAAGATTAAATAAATTTGTATTAAAATTTATTATTACATTTTAGGTTTAATTAATTTTAATATCTAAGTGAAAAAATAATTACATAATCAAACAATTATATAGTTGTTATTTATTTTTTAGGTACCTTTATGTATAAAACATAACTGTTTAAATATTAAATTAAACGTCTTTTATAATTTATTATTAACATTTTTATTGTATATAGTAGCAAATTCTCAAACAAAAATGTGACAAAATCCACAGCAAATATTATGAACGTATAATTTATTTTTTTTTACATTAACGTTTCTTTCGTTATCTATGTATGTATATATACTTATATATAGTATATATCTATCTCGAATAAGCGGAAGGTTAAGTAACAGATGTTTTTTATTATTTAAAGTATTAATTTTTTATTGAATAGGTACTAATTTGTTTTATATCCTCAAATAATTTGAATGTTTATTTCATCTATTATAAATGTGACTATAATATAGTGACTGTATGCATTATACATGTATATTTATTTATATAAAAATAATGGCAGGGAATTAAATAGTGGTTAGTAATCGTTTTGGTAATTTAAATTTGAATTATAGATTTGTATATGGGTATAAAACTTTTTTAAAAAATAATATATAAAATGTATGTTATTCTATCAAATTAGTTTTAGTTAGTTAGAGAAAGAAAACATCTTCAAATGCACAATTACGTAATTTTTTTAGAAGTCATTAAGAAAATCTTTGGTGGTAATGACTTATGTTATGGATTATGTGGAGTAGTTTTACTAGTTTTATCCGTTATAGTTTTAAATACACATTTCTTTTCATTTAAGATACACTAAAATCTGAGTTATCTCTAAGACCATCACATTTCATATGTCAAGTGTACAGGAGTCTGTGAGAAGTTATCTTGAAACACGGATTGATTTTAAGTGGCGCCCCACGTCGGGCGCCGGTTTAATGCATTTCCACTAGTTTTTTCTTCTCAAGGGTGTTTTATCACTTGGCCCACCCTCTTCGTGTTTGTATTCAACATAAAAACTGGTACCCTAAAAAATAATAAAATGTGAATTTATTTTGACTTCTTTTTACTCTCCCTCCATCTAACTTCACGTTACATTGTTGTAAACGAGTACTTTTCTCCAATTCAATTCTAAACAGTTTAACTGCATTAATAATGACAATAATAATAATAATAATAATAATAATAATAATAGTATAATGGAATTATTATATATGCAGCAAGTGTAAAATTATAATACAACCAATCCTGAATAATAACATTTCTACTACTATAAACACGTCACATTTCATATTTTACTGTACA